TAACACGCAGACCTGACATTGGCTTATGCAGTAAATAGACTTAGTCAGATATACCATCAAATCTGATAAGAGTCACTGGGATGCTTTAGAAAGAATTTTGAGATACGCTAAAAGGAACTATAAATTACTGGTTTACACTATAAGGTTATCCATCTGTACTAAAGGTTTCTTCGATGGCAAATTGAATAGTGAACTGCAGTAGATGTAAAATCCACGACACAGGATCTTGTGTTCCTTTTTAGGAGGAGGAGCTGTGTGACCTGGAAAATCTAATAAACAAAACTGTAAATTGCTAGAAGTAGCAATGGAATCAGAAAATGATCGCTGCTTTGATACTACTGTATAGAATAGAAGCTGTAATGGTTGAAAGATTTTACTAACTGAAATTCACTATTGCAAAACCATTCACTAACCATTTTATTCATTGTGATTGCAGGTCAGGCGATTGACAAAATGCCACTAAGAGAATGGCAAATGTGAAGATGAATTCGACACTTGAAAGTGCGACACATAAAATCCTTAAGATATAAATGAAACCATATAATAGCCTTATGATTTTGTAAGATAGAGAAAAATCTTGGCAATCACTTAATCAAGGCTTATCCTAGGGACAGTGGTCCTAGACTCATCGAGGGGGATGGGTGTTAAGCCGGCATAAGAAGGAAATCAACTACAGTGGCAACCCAACCTCCGGCAGAGGTTCAATGGTAGGAAACAAACTGAATGAGTCGATTTAATTGTGAGGAGCACTTGACATTCAATTTGCTCCCATCCATAGGCGTGATCAGTGCTGCATAAAACGCAATGTGAAAGGTTGAGTTAACTCTTAATGAATCCAAAGACGCATGAGGCAAGGAATGCTTACTTCTCGCATCCTTATTAGGATCTACCTATATGTGTGTAGTTGTGAGCCCGACTCATGCGGATAGGGCTGCTCCTAGTAACACAATGAAGATACCTGCGCAAGGCCGATAATAGGCGCAACTGCCGTTTAGATTCTTCCAAACTGTAGCTATGTGTGCTTTCTTGTAGAAATGCGCCGATAAATGAGACTGTGGTTTTCCAGGCGAAGTCCACCGCAGCTCTGCACGGCAATCTATGAGCAACATGTCCTAAGTGAAGGGTTCGAAAGCCGAAAGGTACCTCCACCTTTACTATGTAATAAGGGACAGCAATCTTATTTATTTTTAAGTTTTTATTGTTATTCTTATTTGCTGAGCTACTTTCAAGTTTTAAGTATGTGGGGGGAATTGTTGGATGTTATACAAGCTTAAAACACTTGGGTTTTGTAGAGAAAAAGAGGAAAGGTTAGTCCGCACGAACTAGGAAAGTGAATAGGAAGGAAGGAGTCTTATAAGCCTTTCCCTTTCTATCGCTAATGCGCTAGAAGAAAACGAAAAGGTTATGCCCACACCACACAGGCGGCCGCTCGCCGCGCGGCGCCGGTCGGTGTCGGGCGATTCTGGGCTGCTTTCGAGGTCGGGTCGGGTGGGGTCGGCGCGCACACGACCATTGCGGACACGAATACGGGCACGCTCCGGATTATAGGGCCCTTAATGAATGCTCAACATTCTTTATTTTTATTTTTATTTTTTACTCAATTGGAACATGTTAAAAACGCGTGACCCTCATACAATTTTTTAAAAATGTTAACGCCAGAATTATTGGAGAGATGTTAGACTTTTAAAACTGAATTAAAACGTAAATCCGATCGTAATATTCCAGAGAATTAAAACAAGCAATCCAAAAGCGGAAAGGGAAGGTCCTTATGCAGCGACCTGTTGAAGTTCGTGATTGTACCGTGCAAAAGCGTTCATTTTTCGCTGTTCTCACGCTCTATAATAGCTTAAGTGTCTCATTAAGCTGCGAGGGAGAGAGAACATTCACGTGTTGTAAAAACACGTCCGCTTGCTTCGTTTTGTTCGTATTCTCTCTTCTTCTCTGTCATTCCTGCTTCATTATACTTGTTATATTTTTGTTGGTTCCCTGAAAGTCACGACCCGATTCACAAAGCCTTCTTGAAGCTCGTGCAGACGAAGACAGGAGGTCGCTGACCGAGGGTCGTTGTATTGCGGGGGACTTTTGCCCGGCCGTAGCCTCTGTACGATGAGGGGGCAATCTAGTTTGCGTTGGATAGGTTGTGCTTGCCGCCTCGACCATCAGGGCTGAATATTCTAAACTCTGTTTCTTTTTCATTTATATATTTCTTATCTCTGTCGTTAATCATTCATTTTTAATTGGTGAACTATATGTTCAAATTCATGAATTTGCTCATTCATTGGTTTAGAATCTAGCATTTTAAATTTGTTAAAATTAGAAGATTTAAATCTTTTAATTCCCATATCATCTAAACCATACTTTTTCTCTAAGGTTTCCCACAGAACTTTAGCATTAGTGATAGTATAATATATATCATATAATCTATCAGATAAAGCTCCTAAGATTCTATGTAGACAATGATACTCTATTTCTTGAGGTGTTCTTGGGATAGGAATGGAATCTGTGGAGGAAGATGAGGAAGATTGCCTAGTAACTGGTCTAGATGAAGATGGGTTATCTGGTTCTATAGCTGTTATTAGATGTAAGATGTAGAGTTGTTAACCAAAATCTCATTTGGTTTTGCCAACGACGAAAATTATTCCCATCAAACTTCTCTGGTTTAGCAGACATAACTTCTTTTGTAGCCATAATCTGATGATGAATGAATAGTTTTGTTATTATAATGCAACAGAAATATATAAAGCATTCATTCAACAGAATAATCATGCAGTGTAACATTTCGTTTTTAAGTATTGCAGACATCATTAACATGAAAATCAGAATGCTAATCATGATACTATTCTAAACAGCACTAATTAGTTTCTTGGATTGTTGGTAATATAATCTGTTTAGAGTGTAATTAGCACAAAATACAGTTTTAACAGAAATATATAATGATTGAAAATAGATATAAAATTAAACTGAGTTTAGAATATAGCCTGATGGTCGAGGCGTGCAAGCACTGTCCCAAGAAACTAATTGCCCCCTCTCGTACAGGGCTACGCGGCAAAAGTCCCCGGAGATACAACGACCCTCGGTCAGGCGACCTCCTTCTCGTCGGCACGAGCTTCAAGAAGGCTTTGCGAACTCTTCTAGACTTTCAGGGAACCAGCAAGTTGTAATAGCAAGCAAGTGTAAGAAGAAGAACAGAGCTGAGAAGGAAGAGGAGAATTTTGTGTTTTTCACACTGTGTTTTCTACCCTCGCAGCTTGCTGTTTATATAGAGGTTGAGAATGAACGTTTTTCAATACCGAATTAAATCCTCATAAAAACCTTTTTTCCGTTTTGATTCTGTTTTAATTCTCATGAATATTACTGTTTCATTTACCTTTTAATTCAGTTTTAAAGTTCATAAATCTCTCTAATTAATTCTGGCCGTTAAACATTTTAAAAATGTTATCCTATGTGGGACTAAATTTTTCCTCTTTTCCTCTACAAACCCAAGTTTTTAAGTTATAACTCCAACAACTGACCCCTTAATTCGCTCCACAATGGGGGCTTAATGGCCCCATTACGTGAAAAAATGATTTTGAAAGCGTTCAAATTATGTTTGAAACAGTCAAACCCGAGGTTCGCGTTCTTGATCGAGCCTCGCGTTCAGCTTTGTGAAACGCGGAGGTGATCCTCGCATTTTGGAGTTAAAAACGCGGGGATGACCCTCGCATTTTGGAATTGGAACGCGGGAATGACCCTCACATTTTGGAACTGGAACGCAGGGATGACTCTCGTGTTTTGGAATTGAAACGCGGGTGTGGCCCTCGCGTTTTGGAATTGGAACGCGGGGGTGGACCTTGCATTTTGGAATTGGAAAGCGGAGGTGGACCCTCACGTTTTGCTTTGAAGAGATCGTTAATTGTAATCTCTTTGTTCGAATTTTGCATGGATCGTCGGATTGTAATCCTTATATTTCGTTCTTGGAAATGTGAGAGTCATTAATTTGTAACTCTCATATGTTTTCGTGAAAGTCGTCAGATTGTAACTTTCATCATCTGTTTTTTACGTGGACCAGCTATCTGCAGTAATTTTTTTGACAGCTTATACTATTAAACAATATAATTAAATTTTCAATGTTTTGAATTGATGATCTATCCATGATAGTTATATGTAGTTTTAGATCAATATCCGTGCCTATGAACAAAATTTATCCAAAATATAGAGGTGCATGAAAAGGAAAATCTAACCTATCATTCTAGGCATCCTTCTAGATGAATGTTTTTTTAATAGCACGGTAAAATGATTTTAACTAACCCACTAAACCATTCATTACATATTGTGTCAATTTTATAGGCATTGCATCCTCCAATATCCTAATAGTTATATGCTACTTTGCTTGTCACGTCGTCTAGGCATAAAAAAAAACCCTACATGGCTGAGAATTATTTTTGTCCTGAATGTAAAGGAAAAACTAACTTAACAATTGAGTCTCAGAGGTTGCAAAACTATTTAAGTGTTTTTTTTTTTTTTTTTTTTTTTTTTAAAAAATGATTTTTATGAAGACATGATTTGTAGACGAGGTCCACTGCATATAAGCCCTTCTCATTTTATTTTGGTAATTAAGCCCTTCTCATTTACTAGAGAAATTATGTACAAATTTAGATGGATGCGTTGACCCGGGGTATCATCACATGAACTTAAATAAAAAGAAATTGGTACATTATATTGTGGCCAGCACGCACCTTCTAGAAAAAATCGAACCTGCTAAAAAACAAATCCACACGTTTTTTCCATCTACTCGCGTCTGCTTCTTTCCTTGTTGCCTGTCTCACCTAATCCCACCCGACCCGTTTGACCCAGCCCGTATTCTCCCCATCCAAGGAATCCACCCACCCACAATCTCAACCCCACGTATAATATCCAACGGCTGATATTAACTCCTCGCTATCGGGCAGGGGGAAGGCGACTGGTTATAGCAGGTAAAGATCCGATAGGTGACCGGTTAGTCCGGTCAGCGTCTGGAGAACAAAATCGGGGAGGGGGGAAGAATTGAGGGGAGATCTTGTGCTCTCCACACGATTATTACAGCGCTCGCTCTCTTGGAGGATTTCGGCGCTCTTCTATTTCTCTCGATTTTTGTTTAAGAGGTATTTCTCCTCACTGTTTTATCTCATTTTTCTCGATTTCTGAGTAGTTTTGTCCTGTTCTTTCACGATTTTTCTGGATCTCTGTTGAATCCGAATCCGGTCCGGGACGTGATTTCGCTCGTGATCGATGTTGGTTTAGTTGATTTCTGTGGTTTTGATGTTAGAATGGATTACGAGGTGCTTCTTGGGGATCATTAGGGTTGTTTTTCCTCAAAATTTTGGTCTTGTTCACGTGAAATTGGGCGTTTGATTTGATCAAAGGATCAAATTATTTCATATGTTTTTTTTAAATCCAATTAGATCTTCATCTCACTGCTTTCTTATTAAAGATTTGGACTTTGAGGTTGAAGACCTGAAATCGTTGGGTATAATTGCAAATTGATGAAGAGAAGCTTAAGTTTGATGTTATTGTGTGGAAACCTTTTTGGGTATTGATGTAATCTGTTTTTTCTTATTAAAGATTTGGACTTTGAGGTTGAAGACCTGAAATCGTTGGGTATAATTGCAAATTGATGAAGAGAAACTTAAGTTTGATGTTATTGTGTGGAAACCTTTTTGGGTATTGATGTAATCTGCTTTTGATGAATCTGGTATGTGGTGATTCGCTCTTACAATAAGAGCAAATTCATGTATTTTTCGGTTTTAGTGTATTGGTATTTTGAAATGGTTTCTGGAACCAAAATTGGTAGTTATTTAACTAGATAAAACCAATTGTAAAGACCCAATCCTTCTCAAAGGTTTGATTTACGTTCAACGAAATATCTCAACTATGCATTTAAGGCTAAGTGCATTTGGAGCACGGTGATGTTGTGCAATCACGGGTACAAATACGAAGTTCCGTCGAGAGATTAAGAAGAGATGGATTACTGTGAGAAACTTGTTTGAATAAGAGAGGAAAGGTTTAAATGTAGTGATGGATATTCAACGGACACTCTTCAACCCACATACGATCTAGTTTCTCCTGAAATTCTAGCCCTCGTAACTTTGTGGAAAATATGATGCAGAGCAATATGGGTTTTCGATGTTAGCTTTTAAATTATCAAGGAGTTCAGTTACTACTTTAAACCCCTTGATCCTCCACCTCGGAGGGTAAACCACTTTCTGAGTCTCGTGGTTGTGGGATCACTACTGGGTTTAGAGTGATTGATAGTAGATATATATAGTGTTTGAGAAGTTCCGGATTACTTCATAAAAGTTTATTCTCATCTAACTGGGATGATTTGTCAGAATTCACTTTTAACGTTCTCGTACTTGTTTAGTTCTCTGATATTGTGGGATCATGAAAATCATATTTCCATCAGTAGGAGGTTACAACCTTGCATTAGAATTGCTGGCTGCTTCGCTCGTCTTATCTACTTTATCAGTTCATCTGTTGATGTATGCATAACCTTTCCTGTTGTTCTTGTTTGTTGTGACTTTTATAAAGTAAACATCTTATAAACATCTTTGCCATTTGTTTGCTGTGATATAACTAATTGCCAAAATTGGAGGAAGTTTCTTTTCAAGCTAGAATATGTCTCCTGTTTCACTCCTTAATACTTTTCTTGTATATGTTATTTATATGTTGTACTTTCCCCCTTTTTTACAGCTCAATATATTTTGGATCAAATGGATTCCGATATGAGAAGCTTTTTCACCGAGTCACTGTCATTCTGTTCTGAGGATTCATATGCTACTCAAGACATTGAAAGATGCCCATTTTTGAGAAACATCAATGAGCCAACAAACTTTTCCTTCTCTTCTTTCAATTTTGCTGTACCTGTAAGTTGTTTATCCTCCATACACTCCATAAGAAAGTTGCTTTGCTGGATTGTTGGTGAATTATCTTATGATATCATCTTTAACTCATCAGGCACGTGGAGGCAAGGGTCCAATCTTTGAAGATGGACCGGATTTTGATATGGCATTCAGGCTTTTCCATGGGCGAGATGGAGTTGTCCCACTGTCAGGAAGGTCCTTTGTGCACAAAGAGTCTACACCAAAACCTGAGCAAGTTTCTCAATTTAATCCTTTGGCGGCAAAGGCAGCCACTATTAGTCTCTCGTCTTTCGGTGGCGGGCTTTTCGGTTTTGATTTCTTCTCTAACAAATTCAACAAGTCCAAGCAAAACAAGAAATCCTCCAAACAAGAGCCTTCAACTCAGGTAATGCATTTAGCGATCATCTTGCCTGACCAGAAAAGTAACTTTCTCAGTAGTTTGAACTCTCTAAATCCAACTTACAAATCATGTCAGCTTTACAGCCTCCTTCTGTAAATTACTGATCTATTTGCGGTAGGTCTTTCCTGTTTGTTCATCGTCTGAGTTACAGTTGTTCTAATTGTGTATCCAGAAGGGAAGCAATTCATCGCACGAGGCAATGAGCAACGAATGGCTTCAAACAGGGCAATGCCCAATAGCTAAGTCCTATAGGGCAGTGAGCGGTGTTCTACCCCTAGTTGCAAAGGCTTTACAGCCTCCTCCGGGCATGAAGTTCAAATGCCCACCTGCAGTGGTCGCAGCGCGTGCAGCCCTTGCACGTACTGCTCTCGTAAAGAACCTCCGGCCCCAACCTTTACCCGCAAAAATGCTGGCCATAGCATTACTAGGAATGGCAGCTAATGTCCCTCTTGGTATATGGAGAGAGCACACACAGAAATTCTCCCCTCAGTGGTTTGCTGCTGTTCATGCTGCAGTTCCTTTCATAGCTATGCTTCGTAAGTCTGTACTTATGCCAAAGACTGCAATGGCTTTTACATTAGCAGCGTCAATTCTAGGGCAGGCAATTGGGTCTAGAGCTGAGAGGATGAGGATGAAGAAATTAGCAGCAGAGCGAAGCTCAGCTGCTCTCGTTTGCGAGGCTGTTATAAGTAATACAAATACCGGGCATTGCAGCGAGGAAAAGGCTTGGGTTCCTCTTCCGTTCAAGGGGAATGATGCAGGGATTTCTGCTGAAGCGCCTGCTCCGAAGGCAAGTGTATGTTTCTGACTGTAACTGGAATTCAATAAATGTTGTTTTATCATACTGTTGAAAGACTTGTTGTGTGTGCATGAGCAAATGAGCACTGTTTTCTGCCTTTTTGATTCCTGGGGAGGTGGTAGTGAATAAATTGGATCTATGATTTTAATGTATGTTATGTTAAGAATCTGATGTTTGCTTAAAATTGGAGTGTGTTTGCGTAAAAACTTAATTTTGTTATAATAAGAGCAATTGTGTTGGGCAAAGGCAAATGTAGGATGTATGTTTGCCCTTGTGCTGGTTGTCTTCCAGCCCCATAGTTCTTTTTATATCTTGTTGTCTCCCAAAATCTTGGACGTTTATTGTCCTCAAGACCAAGCATATTAGCTGTACACAAAGCGTATATACTCAAGTATTCACTTTATTTTCCCACTATATTTTATCAATTTCTTTTTATAATTTAAGTCTTACATCGCTTTCACAAGTACAATTTTCAGCAAGTGACTGCTTGAAGAATTGGGTTGTGCATGAATTACACCTTCCACGTTTGAGAATGGTTGCTCACAAGTCACAACTCAATGAGTCATGACTCACACATACATACATGCTGAAGAAACAGAGAACAGAAATGAATAAAATAAAATAAAAATGCTAGATTCCACCTCAGCTAGCGCTAAACCATTCTTGCATCACCGACGCTTGCATCAACAGACAATACGATTCAATCCTTCAATAAGTTGACTGGACTTTCTTTTTCTAAAAGCATATTTCCATGTTCATCTGTTTCCAGCTTGGTTATTAATTTTCATATAAAAATGGAGGCTCTAGCATTGATAAACTCATTCTATATGGGATGGATTATGTACACGACATCTCATTACATGGTTCTCTCAGCAAAAGTATACTCCGAGAAGAGCTTGTCAAGCCCCATCATTTATCTGAGCTCCAATATCAACCATCCTGCAGCACAAAAATATGACGAGAATTTCAAGTGTCAACCATTTGAGGGACTATCAACACTTCCGCCCATACAAACAGGGTTAAAAAAAACCCTTGCACAAACTTGCGGGTTTTGTACAAAATTGTCCTAAACTTATGGTTCAAAATCCCCTTGAACATTCAAAATTACACTAAACCATCCTAAACTATTGAAAATTCACACAAATCACATTTATGGATAGAGTAAAAAGCATGAATTGCGACAAATGAAAACTTGTGATGAAAAATTCGGATGAAGAGCGGAGAACAAGACACGACAAACCAGGTGAAAATTTTAAACTTTTTACTCTACATGTTAATGTTATTTATATATTTTCCAATAGTTAAGGGAGTTAGGTATAATTTTAAAATTGCACGGGGTTTTATCTGATTTATAAACTTCAGGGGGATTTTGGGCAAGACCTCCCAAGGTTCAAGGGGGATTTGTGAAATTAACCAATAGAAATATAAGCGGTGATACCTCATACCTCTGGTCTAATTAACATAAAATGGCCAGTCATGAGGCCATGCAAATCTTCAAGTGTAATATCTGATATCTACCTCTTGTTTCTAAACTCAATGTGTTAATACTTGTGGGCGCATGAGGTACAAGGTTTGAATTCCTGCTAGTAAATAACGCTATTTTCAAGGATGATGACGATGATTACGCCCCTAAGAACCTATATAATATATTCAGTAGAAAACCATAGTGAAAGAAACCAAAAGAAAACTTTATGCATTCTGTGTAACCTGGAGGGAAGTGATTAACCGCACTGCTTCCCTTCTGAAATCACAAGGAACTGAATAGCCATCTGCCAATAAAAATAAAAGAAAATAAATAGAGTAAGAACAAGGTTGGAGGCTCAGTTAGACAAAAAAAAGGTACTTCTCAATTCTTTATGCAAGGAGATCAAAAGATGTATACAGATATGTGGAGATGCATACCTTTAATAGGTAATCAATGGACAACAGGCAATGGCATGTCTGCTTGAAAGACATCAAAGGAACACATATCAGGTAATAGGAGCGAAAGAACTCTCGTCTCTGTTTTTTATGCTGAACACCCAGCAATCAATCTGCCATGTTTTCAACTTTAGTCTAGATAAGACCATGGATCTGCGTAGCAAATGTTTGATGTATGAACATCAAAAAATATGTTTCTGAAGTGCATTATGAAGAAAGATGTCAGGCGTAACACCATCAGATATCATCTTGTCATAGAACATTCTGGCTTCAGCAAATCTTCCAGCATCGCAACACCCACGAATTAGGATTCCGTATGCCACAACATCAGGCAACAAACCTCTAGCAGTTGCACATTGAAAAGCCAAAGCAGCTTCCTCTACTAAACCTTGCTTACAGAATCCATCAATGAGGACAGTATAACTAACAATATTCGGAGAGACATTATTCTTCAACATCTCTTCATGAAGTTCAATTGCGTCTTCCATGCTTTGTGTTTTAAAGTGGTTATCTATCAAACAAGTATAAGTCACAACATTGGGCAATGGACCCATATCAAGCATCTCGTTGAAAAGCAGCATGGCTTCATCCGTTCTGCCTTCTTTACAGAAGGCATCGATGAGGATAGTAAAAGTTATCGCATTTGGCTGAAGATGTCTTTCACTTATCAATTTCTCGTAAAATTCAATAGCTCGATCCAATCTTTTCATGGAGCAGATGCCACTGATGATAGTGTTGTAAGTTACAACATCAGGCTTCAAACCCCGTACTGTAAGCTGTCCTATCAGTTTGGATACTTCATTCAGCTGCCCTTCCTTAAAAAATCCAGTTATGAGAACGTTATAAACAACAATATCAGGATGAACACCATTTTTAAGCATCAGACTATAAAGTTTAACCCCAGCAATTAGATTGCCATGCTTGCACAAGCAATCGACCAAACTGCAGTATGCTACGGCATCTGGCATACCATGCTTGCACAAGCAATCGACCAAACTGCAGTATGCTACGGCATCTGGCATAAATCCCCTCTTTAGTATTTGAAAGACGACCAAACTGCAGTATGCTACGGCATCTGGCATAAATCCCCTCTTTAGTATTTGAAAGAAAATTATTGATGCTTCCTTCAACATTCCTTGCACAGCCATTCCCTTGAGAAGGATGGTGAAAGTAACTACATCAGGTACTAGCTTGCGTACTCCCAATTGCCTATAGATTCTAAGTGCATATTCTAAAATTTTCACTTTGCACCAACCGTCAATTAGTACATTATAAGTCACAATATTGGATTCAAGACCTGACTTGAAGAAAAACCTCAGAGCATCATGCATCCTTCCCACCTTACAAAGTCCATCGATTAGCAAACTATTAACAACCACATCAGGAGAAGGACCTTCTCCTATCATATGCTCATAAAAACTAAAAGCTTCTTTCACATTTTGAGACTTGCAAAATCCATCGATAAGCCCACTATATGTCAACACATTTGGTTCAAGCCCTTGCTTCAACATCCTACCATAAAGTCCGCAAGCCTCAGAAACACGACCTTTTTGACCGAATCCATTGATCAAAATGCTGTAAGTAACAACATTAGGCATCACATCTTCATCCAACATTCTCTTATACACTTCAAACCCTTTAATCAAGTCTCCGACTCGCAGACAGCCATCAATGAGTGAGCTAAAGAACACAACATCGGGTTTAACTCCACTCTCCAAGACCCTCTCAAGTAGCCTAAACCCTTCCTTTACTCTCCCTTCCTTACAAAAACCATCCATTAATATCCCGTAAACTATCACATCTGGCATCATACCCCTCATTATCATTAACTCAAAAATCCCAATTGCTGCATCCAGCCTGCCATCCTTGCAACAAGCTCGAATCAAAGTACTATAGGTCACCACGCTAGGCTTCGGCCCACATTCAGAAACCAAGCAGAACAAATCAAAAGCAACACCAAACCTATTCTCTTTACACAATCTATTTAAAAACCTATTAAACTCATAAATGCTGGGTATGCATCCTCCCTCCACCAAATCTCTATGCCAATTCATCAGCTCTGTAGCATCACCTCCTCTCTTCAAAGCCACACTCATAATAGCTACATACCCATCATCCAATTCACCATAAATTCTCAATATTTCATCGATTCGACCAATACCCACCAACCAATCCAGTGAAAAAGAAATACCCATTTCTTGTGCCGTTGAGAAACACTCTGCGGCTTCGCGGGTCATTCTCAAATCGTAGCAGCATTCTATCAAACACCTGAAGGACGTGCAATTGTTCGGGAAGAAGGACAGAACATCTGAGAACGCGAACAGTTCGATCATTTGGTGGGTGATTTCACGAGCATTCTAGAAGTTTTTGAGGGAAATGTAAGCGTGGGCGACGATGGAGAGAGAGGGGAGAGTTGGCGGGAGATGGAGATGGCGGTTGGACCACTGAAAGAGGTGAAAATGGGGGTGGAGTCTGAAAAGGAGCAAGGGTTTCTGAGAGAGATGAGAAGCGTGGCTGGGGGCGGTGGAAGAGTCCTCCCTCCACCAAATCTCTATGCCAATTCATCAGCTCTGTAGCATCACCTCCTCTCTTCAAAGCCACGCTCATAATAGCTACATACCCATCATCCAATTCACCATAAATTCTCAATATTTCATCGGTTCGACCAATACCCACCAACCAATCCAGTGAAAAAGAAATACCCATTTCTCGTGCCGTTGAGAAACACTCTGCGGCTTCGCGGGTCATTCTCAAATCGTAGCAGCATTCTATCAAACACCGTGCCGTTGAGAAACACTCTGCGGCTTCGCGGGTCATTCTCAAATCGTAGCAGCATTCTATCAAACACCTGAAGGACGTGCAATTGTTCGGGAAGAAGGACAGAACATCTGAGAACGCGAACAGTTTGATCATTTGGTGGGTGATTTCACGAGCATTCTCGAAGTTTTTGAGGGAAATGTAAGCGTGGGCGACGGTGGAGAGAGAGGGGAGAGTTGGCGGGAGATGGAGATGGCGGTTGGACCACTGAAAGAGGCGGATGGAGGAAGCGGGATCAGAACGAAGAAGGTGGAGGAGGATGGATTCGAGGTGGTGAGGTTGGAAGCCATTGGAGAGGGGTGGAGGAATCTTGGCGGAGATTTGGTGAAGGATCCGGGGAGGGATTGATGGAGGGAGAGAGGAGAGGAGGCGGATTTGGGGGTGGAGTCTGAAAAGGAGCAAGGGTTTCTGAGAGAGATGAGAAGAGAGCATGAGCGGCTGCTCGGGCATTTGAGGTAAAGATTTCTCTTTCAGGTGTTTAGTTTTTGTCGGTGGAAGTTCATTAGCGCGAGCTCACTGAGGTAAAGATTTCTCCTTCACAGGTGTTTAGTTTTTGTCAGTGGAAGTTCATTAGCGCGAGTTCACTGCATTATTAGTTTGGCTGCTTTAAAAAAATTAAAAATTAAAAAATTAAAAAATTAAAAGACGAGAGAGAGAGAGAGAGACTAGTCCTTTAATTATCACAGATAATCATAGATGAAATCCCCTCGTCTACAGCTCTTTTAATGGCACTTGTTTATCAACCTTGAATTGACGATTTTAATGGCACTTATTTATCAACATTGAATTGACGATTTTATTGATTTTATTTATCAACATTGAATTGACGATTTTATTGGTTGTTGAATATATAGCTAAGGACTTGTTTGGCAACTAAGAAAGTCTAGCAATGGGATTAGATAAGAAGTGGCGCGAGAATTTGATCCGGCGGATCTCGCACGCCCTTGGCGTCATTACAAGATAAGAGCGAAGATGAGATCTGAAACTGAGAACTAAAACACGCAATTTGGGAAAATGAAGAGGACAAAATGCTAATGTGACACATTCCACTTTTTGGGAAAGTGAAGAGGACAAAATGAAAAAGGACAAAATGCTAATGTAACACCTTCCACTTTCCAATCACTACGATTTTAGGGCCTGTTTGGATCGGGTATTTTGAAGGGGAAAGGAGGGGGAAAGCTGTCAATTTGTCAGCTTTTTGACAGCTTTCCCCCAAAATCGCCTCTTATAGAGGCGATTTTGGGGGAAAGCTGTCAAAAAGCTGACAAATTGACAGCTTTCCCCCTCCTTTCCCCTTCAAAATACCCGATCCAAACAGGCCCTTACTTACCAGGTGCCAAACAGGGAGGAAAATAAAAAGTGCAGTCACTTTCTGATTTTAGTCACTTTCCTTTTACTTTCTGGTTGCCAAACATACGCCAAATTCTTGTTGTCTTGTTGGCAATTATACAACATTAATTGGCTTTTCCTCGTTTTATTCTGAATAAGAAGTATTTAGAGAAGTGGATCCAATATTTATAGTTAAAAAAAAATGTACCGCAACAACAAATGCTTGAGATATTTCTATCCTTGATGGACCCGCAACTAAATTACCAACGTACTCAAAACAGAGTACCAAATATAAGGTTGAGGAATATGTACTTGCCTGACCCAGATAATCTCATCTAACGAGGAGAATTTAACATTCTACAAATACACAGTGTGTAACAGAAAAATGATGAAACACAAAAAAAAACTTAGTATATTTCATCATCTGGAATTTCTGGAGTCAGGAATTTTTTAGGATCTTTACTAATCTCTTCATCGTTCAGTTTAGGCTTCACTCTCTCGGGCACCGGCATCAGAGGAATTATTGCATCTCTATCAATCACACCATCAATAATACCATATTCCACAGCTTCAATAGGTGACATATATCGGTCTCTGTCGATATCTTTCTCTACCTGTCCTAATGATCGGCCAGTAAAACCCGCAACAATTCTGATAACGTTATTTTTGTTATGGAGTATTTCCTTGGCTTGGATCTCCACATCAATTGCTTGACCACTGGCACCTCCGAGAGGTTGATGGAGCATAATCCTCGTGTTGGGCATTGCAAATCTCTTGCCTTTCGTACCTCCACCAAGTATGATTGAAGATGTTGATGCTGTGATGCCCATACCGACAGTTGAGACATCTGCTCGAATTAGCTGGACTACGTCGTAGATGGCCATTGAAGCGCTGAGAGCAAAGCAGAATCAGCAAGGACTTGGGAAAGTTTGGCAGTAATTGAGTTACCGATGAGAAGGGGGAACAAAAGACAGGTAAAAGAGAGGTTAATGAGTAGGGAAATTCAGCCAGGCTGTTCACAGAGAAATCATATAAAGAGAGCGTGCCATAGATAAGTTGCTAGTTAATAACAAAGTTTTCCAAAGACAAGGACTAGTCAAACAATAAAAGCAAATAATTACTGGAAAATTAAAAAACTAAAAGTTAACAAGAATAGGGTGGCTTATAAATAATTGTGTGCAACATTTAAAATGACAATGAAAAAGAATAAGTAAATAAGAAGTGAAGAATTACCTAATTTCATGTGAAGGGATATGTCGAGAGTTTAAAACTATAATCCTCAATCATCATCACGACTTTTGAGTTTTTGGTGCAGAGAAAGAGATGCTAAAGAAGCGACCAAGGTTCATATCCCAAAGGACAAACATTTAACAGCAGTTCCAAAAAAATAACATTGCATAAAATAGAAGAGGTTTTGGGCCATGGGCAGAGCACAAAACCTGCAAGAGTATTCTGGAGTTTAAAATTATAACCCTCAACCCACATCCCAACTTCGGAAGAGTTCTAGTTCAGGGACTGTGAGGCTTGATATGGAATAGGAAAGCCATCACTTTGTATGATGAAAACATACCCCCTTTCCTCCACACAAAATCAGAAGACACGACCTAAATGGAAACCTTTAGATTCTACCCGAGAAGTATAGAAATGAGATAATTCATAAAAGTTGTAAAAGCCATTTCTCATAATCAAAGCTTAAATTAGTATTAGTTGTTGAATACAAACTACTATGTCGTCTTTTTTTAACTATTTTACAAAGCTAGATCTTACAGAACAATCATAATGGTTGCAGGCTTATATGAGTACTTTGTGGCAAGGTCTTTTCACAAATGTTTCTCTTGTGATTCCAACATATACTGCTTTGTATTTTTTTTCTTGTCAAATCTGAAATGCAAGATCTTAGATGAATTTGCTTTAAAAAATGTGATAACCCATAATAACTGTAGATGACAACTAGCTGTGCTAGACATTATGCAGGTAGCTATGCAATTTAACACATTTCAGTAATGATTTATAGAAATCAATATTTGACAGTTGTAGCAGAAATGATTTATTGAAAAAAGAACACCCAAGATTTCATAACTTTTACTGTGCTTAACTCTTCGTGATATCATATCTTTATTCTTTCAGACATATGGTGTATTTTGCCCAAAATCAAATTCAATACGAACGATTCTAGCCTAATTATCGCAATCAATAAATAGAAAGATTTATCTTCTTGATCTTAAATAGATTATTTCTTCTTCCAAGTAGTTTCTCTAGCATTTCCTCTTTAACATTTTATTTTTCCCTTGACATTAAGATTAACATTAGCAAACAAGAAACAAAAGGTAGATTTACAATGGTAGAACTATCATAATTCTAACCAGCACGGTAATCTCGGTATCTAGTTGTGAAGGCGAGATTTCACCAAATATTAGTAACTCATGGCCTTAGTAATGTATATAATTGACATGTTATAGTTATCTAATAGTTTACAGCTTAAATGTTGAGGCTATCTACAAAATATGATATCTTTCAGTAGCTTGGTTTATGCTTTTTTGTTGCATAGTTCATTTATAACATATTATACATGTTCTAGTTAAGGGTTAAGCTCAGATCAGCATATAAGAGTGACAGAAAAGGAAATGAAGGAAATGAAGAATACAAGATTTTTCAGAATCCTAACCAGCATGGCCACACACACTCATGGAAAAATGCGGCTTCTGCCTAGTAGTAATTAGATACTGCTTAGGACATCCATACAAATGGGAGATTCTTGTTATTTAATAGCTTATGCATTGACAGTGCACAGAAAAATTAAAATTTTCAGTAAATCGGCACATTCTTGCTGTCTGGCAGGTTATATGCGTTATGTAAACACCACATATCTCTTATTATGTAATTCAAAGTGTGGTAGTGCAGTGATGTACTATTCAGTTTTACTACTTGAACCTGCCCATTTAGGATCAGAAGGTATTGGCCAGGTAAGCTTACAAAACAACCAACTTTCTAACACTCACAATGAGGAAACAGCAGGATCTAAACAAGAAACAGTTGAGCACCGTTTACCACCCAACCGATCATCATGCTCAACCAAATGTTTGGCAACAATGGATGTGAATAAGCATTGTAGACTCCTACTACAAAAGAGTCTACTTCTCACTTTAGAAGATTGCGGACTAATCTTTGCACTGTAAGTCTCCATTCAAATAGCACATTGCACTTGTACCCTACATGGGAGTCGGGACTACATCTTTCTTTCACAGGGGAAGGTTCATACTGAAGTAGGGAAAATGCATGAGATACAAGACCTCCATTAAAGTTCATTTAAGTGATATAATGTGTATCTTCTTTTATGCAGACTTAGTGAGAACTTAAGTTGGTTCAAGACTGCAAATCATGGAGCTTGTTAACTAATACATGAAATCATCTTAGGATATGTCTAATCATAATGGTTTGTAGTCAAACTTTATCCATTGCTTAGTAACCAATGTGGGACAATAAGACTTCAACTGTGTTCCTCTTGTGTTAAGACTTCAATTGTGTTCCTCTTGTTCATGAGATCTTACACCAGTGAAGTTTGAATGATGATTTTCTTTACATTTTTGCGATTTTGTTCAAGTTCACATAAAAGTATCATTGTATAGCTTTTATTAATGTGGACTGGCGTGAATGAATTATTCTGACACGCTGCATCAACGTAGGGTTTTCATTCTGCTGCATCAATTGCATGACTATTATTTATCATTTCAGTCAAGGTTACAGAAAACACTAGATGGCCTATGCGTTGGACCTGATGCCTAGAGCCTAGGCGTCTATTTTTTTAATTTTTTAATTATAATTATTGATAATAAATACCAATGTTATATAAAGCTTAGACGCTAGACTGGCACCTAGGCATATTTCTTACATGGTGGTGGAGGAGGTTTTCCTTAAGGTCAAAGGAGGTCAGAGAGGTGTTCATAGTTAGAGGCTGGAGGAGTTTGGAGAAGATTGGAGGACATGAGGCTGCAACGAAAGAAATCATAATCAATGTCTTAAGGTCGAAGGAGGTCAGAGAGGTGTTCATAGTTAGAGACTGGAGGAGTTTGGAGAAGATTAGAGGACATGAGGCTGCAACGAAAGAAATCATAATCAATGTCTAAAGAGTGCAATCCAGATAGGCAGAACACGCTCCCCTAGGCGCTCCTAAAACCTAGGTCGGTAGCCAAGGCAGTGTTTTCAAATGTGTGCGCCTCATGCGCCTTGCAACTCGGGGCGGTGATGAAGCGCCCCACATCTGATGCAGCAGCGCCTTTTGCGCCTCGCGTACATTCTTACTTTGTACATTGTGCATGTAGTACATATCCTCATATAATTTTGTTTGTATACATTCAATCGAGACTTTATACTTGATAATCCATATCCCAAAAAGCAAAATAAATCCATTAGGCCTTTTTAGTAGCCTTCAATTAAGAACCATTATTAATCCTTTGCTTGGATATTAGTCTTGATTTAACATTTGATTTGAAAATGTATTCATTTTGGTATTATGTTGGGTGTTAGCATTAGAAATTAATGTATTATATTGTGACTTTATAGTAATATATTATTTATCCTGACATATTTTTCATGTAAATTCTAAGAACATGTTCTTTCATGCTTGATTATATATATTGAGAAATTATGTGTGGTGTGGGCGCTTGACATCACCCGCGCGCACGCATCGCGTTGCGCCTTGCGCATGTGCGCGTAAAGATGCTTTGAGCCCTGCGCCTCGCGCATTGACAACACTGAGCCTAGGTACCGCCTAGACGCTAGACGCTGCTAGGCGGATAGCCAAGGTACCGCCTAAGTGTATGCGTGCGCTCAGGCGGACTAGGTGAAAGCTTTTTAAAACATTGATTTAGTTCACCTTAACAAATTTAAATGATTGTGTTTTCAATGTCCACAACATACTATCCAGATGCATGTTGTTGTTCTCAAAGATATTTCTAGCTATGTGAAATTTCGTGATAAGTAATATCCTTTTCCTTTTTTTTAAGGAAACTAACAAGTAGTATACCCTGTGACTTCCAGATATATGAATTATGAAGATCCATGTTACCCACACTCATCTACTTTGTAGTGGTTCCAAACCCTACTTGTTTTCTAACACCCTTCATAGTTAACATCTGCAATAGTTGGATACTTGGAAGGCCAGTGTACTTCCAAAAGAATAAAGCTCCTCGGAGCTCACAGTATACCAAAGTTCACATTTTACAGTTGATGCATCATCTCATTTTCCTTGAGGTCCACGGCATAACAATTTCCTGACACACATTCACAAAATCAAGCCAGTAATTATCATACTTTTAGCAACCACCTCAGATCCTTGAACGGAGAAGGAAGAACCTTTTCCCTATAACTAGATCAGAGCCAGGTCCGGCCTAAGAGGGGGGGTAGGGGGGGGCGACCGCACAGGGCCCCATTTCAAAGGGGGCCCCAAATTTTTAAAAATGCTCATAGTATATTTCTTAATTATTTCCAATAAGTCTTTTGTTTGTTTAAAAAAGGGCCTAATAATCTAATACTAGCCCACTAAATTAAATAATAATTTATGTCCATTGCCTAAGCCTAACTGCCTAACACTCATGACCCATCTGATTTACATTTTACCGGAAATATACACCAATTAGTACTACAATTATGATTAGTTGCTCATTTGTCTCCTAAAGTTTAGGAAATTCAATTTGAACTCATTAATTCCCAATTAACTATTCCCTATTAACTAGGAAACACACCAATAATGCTAATGTTGGAAAAGATAGATATAGATTCTATTATTGATGGTTTTGCATCAAAAAATGCACGAAAACATCGTTTTTTGTAATTTTTGTATTTTTATGTATTATTTCTTTTGTAAAATAAATATAATTTAATAAATTTATAGTTCAACATTTATATAGAAGAGGGCCTCATTTTATCATTTCGCACAGGGCCTCAAAAAAGCTTGGGCCGGCCCTGATCAGAGCTTCCAAGTTAATGACTGGTCCTAACCCATTCATAGCTGCAATTAATTCTATCAACAAAAAACCCCAATTCTCCTCGCGAGACCA